GTGCTATGCTGGCAGCCACATGAGTTTGGGGAGTCTCAGGCTGAGCAGGGCTGGGGGGATCCCAACAGCCGGGACCCCCTCCCCACTGCCCCCCTTGGATGGGGGAGCCCGTAGGGGGGTCTAGCAGAAACTGTGATCCTGCAAGGGGTGGGGGGAGTCAGGAGACTGCAGGGGCAGGGTGGGCACCCCACACACACAGGCACGCAGGCCCCACGGTGGCACGTGCCCGGCTGCCGGAGCCTGGGCCAGGCGAGGTGTAGGGGTCCCGGTGCTCCTCCTCGCTGCATGCCCCCCAGCCTGGGGTGGGGGTGGGCAGGGTAGGGGTCAGTACACTGCTAAGCGTGGTCTTGATACAGCACTGGACACCAGGGTGTGCGCTGCATGCCCCCAGTCCCAACAGGACTTGGGGTGGGGGCCTCAGTCCTGGAGGGGCAGGGGGATGGTGATTCTGGGGGTGGTCCCGCTGTTGTCCCCCCAAGAGGCCCTGTGAGGACCCCGCTAATCTGCCAGATGATGCTAGTCTGCCAGCAGCCCCCAGGCACACCCAGGCTGCCCCCCCCTTCCCCACCTCAGCACCACAGCTGGGGCAGGACTAGAGCCTGGAAGGGCACAGGTCCATGGCACAAGGGGAGCGGGCTGGAAGCCTGGATGCCTGGGTCCTCTGGGAGGGCAGGGGTCTAAAACTTGGAGCAGCAGGTGGGGAGGGGAGACTTAAAGTCAGGACTCCTGCGTGCTGGGAGGGCAATGGGGCCCACTGGTTAGAGCAGCAGAGACCTGAGCCGCTGCAGGACCCCAGGGACGGGGGAACGTACTGCAGATGGATGGGTTCTGCCTTTGCTTGCCCCCTGGGGGAGTGGATCTTGCTCCAGGAGGGCTTGGATCTTGCCCTGGGGGGTGGATTTTGCCCCAGGGTAGGGCTGCAAGCAAGGCAGCTCCATCATCCCCCACCCAGCTGCCAGGCTCCACCCCAGAAGCAGCTGCATCTCCACTGGGTGAAGGGTCCTTGTGCCCAGGAGCCACGGGGAGGCAGCTGGTTCTGGGGGGGACCCTCCACCCCTGCATTTCTGGCTCCTCGCTCCTGCTTACAGCAAAGCTCCTCCAACACCCGCAGGCCCAGGCCCAGGCCCAGGCCCGTCCCACCACGGCGTTAGTCACTTTGCACGTGAAGCTCGTTAGGGCTATAAATACACCACCATCTGCCTCGCGCCCGGGCCTGCGGGAGGCTTGGCTGTGGGTGGGCTCTGCAGCCGGTGCCAAGAGGGTCTCAGCA